GGGCAGCAGGGGGCAGCACGGGGCAGCAGGGAGCAGCAGGGGGCAGCAGGGGGCAGCAGGGAGCAGCAGGGGGCAGCAGGGGGCAGCAGGGAGCAGCAGGGGGCAGCAGGGGGCAGCAGGGGGCAGCACGGGGCAGCAGGGGGCAGCAGGGGGCAGCAGGGGGCAGCAGGGGGCAGCAGGGGGCAGCAGGGGGCAGCAGGGGGCAGCAGGGAGCAGCAGGGAGCAGCAGGGGGCAGCACGGGGCAGCACGGGGCAGCAGGGGGCAGCAGGGGGCAGCACGGGGCAGCACGGGGCAGCAGGGGGCAGCAGGGAGCAGCAGGGGGCAGCAGGGGGCAGCAGGGAGCAGCAGCACGGCCTGGCCTGGCCTGGCAGGGCACTTGGCAGCCTGGGGTGAGTCTGAGGATGGTCCGCTCAGCAGGACTCCCACAGACGCCTCTGATGCATTAATACTGTCCACAAACCAGTGCGACGACTGCTCATATCGCTCCTGCTCAGCCCGTGTGAAAGCAGACGATCAGAGGACAGACACGTGCACAAAGGCACAAAGGCAGCCGTCACACCGCGGCAAAGTCTAATCTAGATCCGGAAAACGGTTCAAACGCCTTCAGCCGAATGGAACCACACACTTCAGTCATGTGAGCTCTTGACATTAACCCTGCGTCTGTTCAGTGGACTTCAGAAATAGTCAAATATACAGACCATTATCATGCTAACGCTAGAGGTGGTATACTAGCTTCTTTATTATGCTAAAGCTAGATTTTATACTAGCTTCTTTATTATGCTAAAGCTAGAGATGTTATACTAGAAAATACTGCATATTTTTTTTAACCTCTTAACACCCGCCTCATTTTGGCTCGTGCACAAAAGTTGGGCAAACCCAAATGTCTTTGCTTATTTAAAAACACATCTTACATCTCACATGCTTGTGTGACATTTTAAAGCTAGAGCCTTCTAGTTTATGTAAAAAAAAACACTAAAATAATGTTTGTCATTCCTATTTCCCTCTGCATCCTTTGAAGTTTGGGAAAAAAAAACAATTTTTTTAGCCTCGCCTAACATTTTCAATTTCTAAAGGCCCTAAAAAAGGCATAGTTCATTGTAAGTTCACAATATTCAAACCCTGTGGCACAAATTGTGCACAATTTGGCACAAATTGTGCCAAATATCTTTACTGACATTTAATCATCATAAAAACAATATTTTTTATTATTGGTACTTATAAGTTACTAATCTATGTGTTTTTTTTTTTTTTTTTAGGTCAAAGTTATTTTTTTAATTTAATTCATTGCAGCTTCGAGAGCGTCTTTTGGCTGCCATTACGCACAATTCTACAGGCACAAATTAAGACAGGACACCATTGTCCCACCCCTTGCTCGAAAGCTTTCCTCATTGGCTACACGGACATGTCAATCAAAAATCCCGGAAATAGAAGCAAACAAGAAGGGACAACAACAAAGATCAGTGATCCATGCGCAAACAGCAGCGCTAGCTGTACTCACGGGAGCTCTTGCAGACCCAAAAATTGGTCTAGCTTTTCAGGAGTAGTCTCATTTGAAAGATAAGGAGCTAAGGAACACGTAGATACCAGATGTCCGGGTGAAAAACAAAGCTAAAAGTCCGTTAAAAGTGAAAGAGAAACATCTGTGCTCTTTTTTTTCGTTTTTTTCGCTAAAGATAAATGCACATTTTTGGATTATTTCTGCAGAATGGATTTTACTTTGGGTAATACAAGTAAGGGATAACGTATATTACGCAAGCAGACCCCTCCGCTGCGCGTCGGGTTCCGCTTCGCCCTGTCGGTACTTATTTTCCGATAATGACCTGCGTAATATACGTTATCCCGCTTATTATACGGCTTTATACCAACAGAACACACAACATAAACTTCAGTCCACTTTTAGGAATGCCGAAAGGTTTATTTAATGACAGAAAATAAAATAGTTCCCAAAGGTTTTCCCGTGGCTATGCTAGTAACAGTTAGGCTAGGCAACTTCCAAACTAGAACTCTCTGGAACTGCATGAAAACTGAACACAGAATCCTGAACATCAGCGGTGAGTGACCCAAACATAAACTTAACCTAAATCCATAATTCCATCCTCTGCAAATGTTCATAAAATGTGCCGTATCTACTTCCGGGTTTTTCGGGATCGCCTTTTCTCACATTACATCAGTGTTTTTGTCATGAAAACGTAAACGGAAAATTCTGAAAACTTCCGTGCACTTGTATTAAGACTGGATATGTATAAATTACTCTCCGATTAACATTTCATTGCGTTGATTGATTGGCATTTGCGTTTATTGAGCGGCCGAAACAACTTCCGGGTTTTTCACGATCGCTTTTTGACGCAGAGAAATAGTATTTTTGTCATGAAGACAAGACCAGAAAATTCTGAAAATGTCCGTGCACGTGTGTGAAGAATGTATATGTATAAGTATTCTCCGATTAACATTTAAGTGTGTTGATTGAGCGTGGCTAGCTCAGGAGTGGCCGGAACTACTTGCGGAGTTATCCACGCATTTGAAATACAAGCAGAGAGTGCGTTGCCAAAGGGCAGCGGTCATTATTGTTTTGAGAGGTCCGTTATAGAAAATAATGACCGGTAGAACGTTTTGAAATTACATTCAAATCAATGGAGCGTTCTCCTGCTGCTGTGAGGAGCCGTGTAATAAGTGGATGTAATTTTCCTTTGGACTGTTCCAGAGAGAATGATGTATTGCAAGCTGGGAGGAGCGCTGATTTATTTGTACAGCACAAGCCCAAAGGTAAAAAACTATTTCGGAATTGATTTATTTTGTGCCCACATTATGTGTTATATCTTTTGAATGCAAAGTCTGATGTAGTTTACACTTGTATATAAATGTAGATAAGAAAATAAGCTTTAAAATGATATACAGCTTTTGGGGTTTGGTGTTCAAAATACATCTGCTATTGCCAGCAGAACATTTAAAAACATAAAAACGGCACGCCGGCGTGCCGGTGGGTGTTATAGGGCGACACGGTGGCTAAGTGGTAAGCACACTCACATCTCAGCAAGAAGGTCCTGGGTTCAAACTTCAAATCCCGGTTGGAACAGGGTCTCTATGAGTGAAGTTTGCATGTTCTCCCTGTGTCTGTATAGGTTTCCTCCAGGTGCTCCAGTTTCTCCTACCACTAAAAACATGCCCAACAGGTAAATCCAATAGTCCTGACCAAGCCGAGCATCCACATCTGGAGATTGGTTCCCGAGGCGCTGTTGCTACGGCGACCGCTGCTCTTGGTACATTTTCTTCAGATGTTTTTCCTATTGTTCTGTAACTGGTGATGCAACACTGTATTTAATAAATAGTCAAAACAGATCAGTCAATTATCAGTAAACAGACCATATAAAAACGTATTCTGATTTGGAATGATAAAAGGTTATATAATATTAAAAGATAAGGTAGGATTTGTAATGAAAAATGCAGTAAAGAGGAGATAAAATTGTATATATCGGTACAACAGGCAGGACTAATGCAGTGTAAGTCTTTAACTAAATAATGTGAAGATTCTGCAGGACTGGCCTGGACTGGACTGGACTGGACTCTGGACTCTGGACTTAGTGGCATAGTTAGTTTTTAGAAAGCACTTGTATTAGGACCCTTGTATTCACTTCATCTTCATCCTTTCACAGACCAGAATCACAAAGACCTTTACAATTGTTGACATTAGTCTCTCTCTCCTCACAGAGATGGAGCAGGAACAAACAGGAAGTGCATGTCAGAACTAATGTACATGTTTTTAGAAGTAGGGGAAATCCAGAGCAACCGGAGGAAACCTACACAGACATGGGGAGAACATGCAAACTCCTCTCAGAAAGGCCCTGTTTAGAAAGGTCCATTGCCATCCCAACCCAACCCTCTGGAACTCACTCCCAAACTCTAAAATCAGTCTCAAAACCCATCTGTATACCACTTTTATTCACAATGTGTCCAAAAAAGCACTATACAAGTTTGAAGCAAGTTATTTTTAATGTATAATTTCCAAATCCATAAACTCAATTCTTTTAAGACTCCGTACAAACTTTTATAACACCATACAAATAAGAATTGACTGTATATTAATAATTGCGCTGTACATAAACATGCCACAACAGAGCAGTATAACTATGTCTTACCATGATCCTGTTGCATAAGTTTTCACACAGTCTGAGCCTCAAGCCACGCCCCTTTTCCCGCACATGCATCTCCGCAGCTAACTCCGAATAAGCTTGTTTACTTGTCTGGATTTACCGCGCCTGTTCTGTATTCTCATGCCCCAGAAAGCCCACACAACTGGAGATGGATTCCCAGCATTTGCATATTCATTGAGAGGTTACCGAGGTGGATTTACGTTTGGATTACTGCAAATAGAAACGCAGAGTTGCTTTGGAACAGGGCTGTCAAACTCATTTTGGTTGAGGGCCGAATACTAAATGAAAGGGCTGGTCAGGGGCTGAAAGAAGAAGTGGGTTTAATTTATTATACGTTTTTATAATATGAAGGTATCTATATATATGACTTGTTTATAAAATAGTTAGATTGGATACTCTTTTATGATTAGACTTAGTTCAGTTCCTGTGGACTGAACCAAAACTGGACCAAAACTGGACCAAATATTGAAGCTATAGAGGAAGATTATCTACTTCCGGATGGATCATCAAGACTATTGCTCCTCCCAACTGTCAATCATTCTGGTGATAAGTGCTCGTCAAATAAGACCAGAGAGTTTTGTTCCAAAAGTGGAGAAGGCGGTTCTTCAATGCTGCTATTTAATATAATAATTTTAATTCATCTCAAGGGCCGCTGGAAATGGTCTTGCGGGCCGGGTGTGGCACTTGGGCCTTGACTTTGACACCTGTGCTTTAGAACCTGCAGAATCTTGGCATTGTCTGGGCCCGCTTTATCCCCGTCCCGTCCAGACTAAAAGGCTGTCATAACAAAGTGAGCCACCGGTGAGGAATATACTGGACTAAGCTAATTCAGTTGATTGTAAAATTGGCGTATGGGTGATCGGTCATTAGCTTCTCGACAGGCTGTTTGCAGAGTGCTCCATAACCTTTGTCCACAGGGGCTGTCCGGGAGCGAGCAGGTTAGCCAAGCCTGGAAGAGCTAATAGCCACATCGCTGCCAATGCTAAGTGATTTGTCTTTGCTCGGCGACAGGCTGTAGATGCCTCAAGGACAGAGACAGCTCCAACTATGAAATTGGCCTAACAAGCACCTGACAAAAACGGTAATGATAGCCTGAGGAGGGTGTCCGCTGTGCAGGCACTGAGGAGGCACCGAGGAGGCACCGAGGAGGCACCGAGGAGGCACCGAGGAGGCAGAGGAGGCACCGAGGAGGCAGCGAGGAGGCACCAAGGAGGCAGAGGAGGCACCGAGGAGGCACAGAGGAGGCAGAGGAGGCACCGAGGAGGCAGAGGAGGCACCGAGGAGGCGCAGAGGAGGCACCGAGGAGGCGCAGAGGAGGCACCGAGGAGGCAGCGAGGAGGCACCGAGGAGGCACCGAGGAGGCAGAGGAGGCACCTAGGAGGCACCGAGGAGGCAGAGGAGGCACCGAGGAGGCAGAGGAGGCACCGAGGAGGCAGAGACGGCACCGAGGAGGCACCGAGGAGGCAGAGGAGGCACCGAGGAGGCACCGCAGAGGCACCGAGGAGGCACCGAGGAGGCACAGAGGAGGCAGTGAGGAGGCACCGAGGAGGCACCGCAGAGGCACCGAGGAGGCAGCGAGGAGGCAGTGAGGAGGCACCGAGGAGGCAGCGAGGAGGCAGAGGAGGCACCGCAGAGGCACCGAGGAGGCACCGCAGAGGCACCGAGGAGGCAGAGGAGGCACCGAGGAGGCACCGAGGAGGCAGCGGGGAGACAGCAAGGAGGCAGCGAGGAAGCACCAAGGAGGAACCGAGGAGGCAGCGAGGAGGCAGTGAGGAGGCAGCAGAGGAGGCACCGAGGAGGCACCGAGGAGGCACCGAGGAGGCACCGAGGAGGCACCGAGGAGGCACCGAGGAGGCAGAGGAGGCACCGAGGAGGCACCGAGGAGGCACCGAGGAGGCAGAGGAGGCACCAAGGAGGCACCGAGGAGGCACCGAGGAGGCACCGCAGAGGCACCGAGGAGGCAAAGAGGAGGCAGCGAGGAGGCACAGAGGAGGCAGTGAGGAGGCAGTGAGGAGGCAGAGGAGGCACCGAGGAGGCACCGCAGAGGCACCGAGGAGGCAAAGAGGAGGCAGCGAGGAGGCAGCGAGGAGGGCAGCGAGGAAGCAGCGAGGAAGCACCAAGGAGGAACCGAGGAGGAACCGAGGAGGCAGCGAGGAGGCAGCGAGGAGGCAGCGAGGAGGCAGCGAGGAGGCAGCGAGGAGGCACCGCAGAGGCACCGAGGAGGCACCGCAGAGGCACCGAGGAGGCACCGAGGAGGCACCGAGGAGGCAGTGAGGAGGCACCAAGGAGGCACCGAGGAGGCACCGAGGAGGCAGAGGAGGCACCGAGGAGGCACCGAGGAGGCACCGAGGAGGCAGAGGAGGCACCAAGGAGGCACCGAGGAGGCACCGAGGAGGCACCGCAGAGGCACCGAGGAGGCAAAGAGGAGGCACCGAGGAGGCAAAGAGGAGGCAGCGAGGAGGCACAGAGGAGGCAGTGAGGAGGCAGTGAGGAGGCAGAGGAGGCACCGAGGAGGCACCGCAGAGGCACCGAGGAGGCAAAGAGGAGGCAGCGAGGAGGCAGCGAGGAGGCAGCGAGGAAGCAGCGAGGAAGCACCAAGGAGGAACCGAGGAGGAACCGAGGAGGCAGCGAGGAGGCAGCGAGGAGGCAGCGAGGAGGCACCGCAGAGGCACCGAGGAGGCACCGCAGAGGCACCGAGGAGGCACCGAGGAGGCACCGAGGAGGCAGTGAGGAGGCAGCCGAGGAGGCACCAAGGAGGCACCGAGGAGGCACCGAGGAGGCAGAGGAGGCACCGAGGAGGCACCGAGGAGGCACCGAGGAGGCACCGAGGAGGCACCGAGGAGGCAGAGGAGGCACCAAGGAGGCACCGAGGAGGCACCGAGGAGGCACCGCAGAGGCACCGAGGAGGCAAAGAGGAGGCAGCGAGGAGGCACAGAGGAGGCAGTGAGGAGGCAGTGAGGAGGCAGAGGAGGCACCGAGGAGGCACCGCAGAGGCACCGAGGAGGCACCGCAGAGGCACCGAGGAGGCAAAGAGGAGGCAGCGAGGAGGCAGCGAGGAGGCAGCGAGGAAGCAGCGAGGAAGCACCAAGGAGGAACCGAGGAGGAACCGAGGAGGCAGCGAGGAGGCACCGCAGAGGCACCGAGGAGGCACCGAGGAGGCACCGAGGAGGCACCGAGGAGGCACCGAGGAGGCACCGAGGAGGCAGTGAGGAGGCAGCGAGGAGGCACCGAGGAGGCACCGCAGAGGCACCGAGGAGGCACCGAGGAGGCACCGAGGAGGCAGTGAGGAGGCACCGAGGAGGCAGAGGAGGCACCAAGGAGGCACCGAGGAGGCACCGAGGAGGCACCGCAGAGGCACCGAGGAGGCAAAGAGGAGGCAGCGAGGAGGCACAGAGGAGGCAGTGAGGAGGCACCAAGGAGGCAGAGGAGGCACCGAGGAGGCAGAGGAGGCACCGAGGAGGCAGAGGAGGCACCGAGGAGGCACCGAGGAGGCAGAGGAGGCACCGAGGAGGCACCGAGGAGGCACCGCAGAGGCAGCGAGGAGGCAAAGAGGAGGCAGCGAGGAGGCACAGACGAGGCAGCGAGGAGGCAGCGAGGAGGCAGCGAGGAGACAGCGAGGAGGCAGCGAGGAGACAGCGAGGAGGCACCGAGGAGGCACCGAGGAGGCAGAGGAGGCACCGAGGAGGCACCGAGGAGGCACCGCAGAGGCACCGCAGAGGCACCGAGGAGGCAAAGAGGAGGCAGCGAGGAGGCACAGACGAGGCAGCGAGGAGGCAGCGAGGAGGCAGCGAGGAGGCAGCGAGGAGGCAGTGAGGAGGCACCGAGGAGGCAGCAAGGAGGCAGAGGAGGCACCGCAGAGGCACCGCAGAGGCACCGCAGAGGCACCGAGGAGGAAAGAGGAGGCAGCGAGGAGGCACAGAGGAGGCAGTGAGGAGGCAGCGAGGAGGCACAGAGGAGGCAGTGAGGAGGCAGCGAGGAGGCAGCGAGGAGGCACCGGATAGGCACAGAGGAGGCACCGAGGAGGCAGCAGGAGGAGGCACCGAGGAGGCAGCGAGGAGGCACCGAGGAGGCAGCGAGGAGGCAGCGAGGAGGCACCGAGGAGGCAGCGAGGAGGCACAGAGGAGGCAGTGAGGAGGCAGCGAGGAGGCAGCGAGGAGGCACCGGATAGGCACAGAGGAGGCACCGAGGAGGCAGCGAGGAGGCACCGAGGAGGCAGCGAGGAGGCAGCGAGGAGGCACCGAGGAGGCACCGCAGAGGCACAGAGGAGGCAGTGAGGCGGCAGCGAGGAGGCACCGAGGAGGCAAAGAGGAGGCAGCGAGGAGGCACAGAGGAGGCAGTGAGGAGGCAGCGAGGAGGCACAGAGGAGGCACAGAGGAGGCAGCGAGGAGGCACCGAGGAGGCAGCGAGGAGGCACCGAGGAGGCAGCGAGGAGGCAGCGAGGAGGCACCGAGGAGGCACCGCAGAGGCACAGAGGAGGCACCGAGGAGGCAGCGAGGAGGCAGCGAGGAGGCACCGAGGAGGCACCGCAGAGGCACAGAGGAGGCACCGCAGAGGCACAGAGGAGGCACAGAGGAGGCAGCGAGGAGGCACAGGCTGTGTGTGATGCAATCTTTCGGGTCGAACACAGTCATTAACATACGACTTTTGTTTCCAGGATCTGACTGATGCAAACCACCTGCTGGGGTTCAGCTAAAAGCATTGCAGTGTAGTATTTGTGACTGCTTAGTTGTTGCACCTGGTTTTATAATGTGTGCACTGCATACATGGAAGGAAAAATAAGTTAAAAATGGCTCGAATTTGGCAAAGTGTGTCTCAACTTGAGCCTTAAATCTAGATTCTCCGATGGGACAAAGAAAAGATACATAAATGTCCACCTTGGAATGAGAAAATAAAGCAGCAGTTCCTGAAATCAGACTAAATGGCTTTGTCCCATTGGAGAATCTGGTTTTATCACAGTCAGAATGTGTCAGATTAAGATTTTTATGTTTTTAATTACTTGATTCAAGCATTTATAACCTCATATCTTATCAATGTTGCAGTGTGGGGCTATTCATTTGTGTCAATTCTGTAAAAAAGAAAAGAGAAAAGAGATCTCTCTGATTGGATAATCTACTTTACTAATCTACAAACATTGTGGACATAAATATTGTGGACATTATGTATACTGTATTTTTGATTATGAATAAGTCCAATTTAAAGTTTTGTTCAGAAAAGGTGTAATATGATGTGAACATGAGACACATATCGTGGACTGTAGCCTGGATACTTTGAACTCTGAAACACAGGACAATATCTTAAGGATAAATGCTTTAATACCTCTGTCATGTGCTTTTTGTACATTTAATAAATCATAAACATTGTTGCCTAAAACCCTGTATAATGTTCTACTCTTTGTGAAAAAACTCAAAAGCTAAAAGGTCAATTGTTTATAATAATGCATCAGTTTTATACAGAGCTTTTTTGACGCTCAAAGACACTTCACATCTCATTATTCTCTCCAAACACAATCATGCCGAACAACTACTGTAGCCGCAGCTGCCCTGGGGCACACTGACAGAAGCGAGGCAACCAGTCTGTGACATCGGCCCCTCCCACAACCACCAACCATTCACACAAGTGTCTTGCCTAAGGACACACACACAGCCACAGCTTCCTAAGTAAGTAAGTAATTAATGTTTATTTATATACCGCCTTTCACAGACCAGAGTCACAAAGCGGTTTACAATTGTTATTCTTGGGCATTTGTCTCTCTCTCCACACAGAGATGGGAGCGGGGTCGCCGAACAGGAGGCGCATGCCAGAACTATTGTACATATTTTTCCTCACTGAGGTCTCCCATCACAGTACTAATCAGGTCGTGCCTTGCTTAGCTTTCACCTTGGCCGGACTTCTACGTCGTTTTTCTATCTTCAAGACTCAAATTGTATTCATCGTGTCCCTTCAAAGGAAGTTTTATAAACGCAGATGACAAAATCCATTAATCCCAACGGAAAGAAAAAACAAATAAGTCTGAGCGTTTGTTGATCCCCGGTGGAGGCCGCGGTCTTGGGCTGTGAACCCATGGAGTTATAGAGAGTTTGAAGCCATCACACGACCTAATGAGCCATGTGCAGGCGACAAAGTGGGAGGAAAAAGTACTGATATAATTGATGATAAAAGACAAACCAACTGAGAGAGTTTCTCTCTGAACTTTCAACTCTGGGTCTGTATCTGAGCCACTTGTGCACTCAAAACTATGTCACAATATAAGTCATTTATATCGGTCAATAACGATATGTATTGATTGTTTTTTATTTATTTTTTAAAACGTGAATAAATACATTTGTCGTGTCGGCTAACACATGTTAGCAGCTCTGTTTACAGTCACGGGGAATGAGGCTGGAGCCAAATGTTCACAAGCACGGTGTCCCCCATTGTTAGTCCTGGTTTAGCTCCTGGTTTAGCTCCTGGTTTAGCTCATGGTTTAGTCCTGGTTTAGTCCTGGTTTAGCTCCTGGTTTAGCTCCTGGTTTAGCTCCTGGTTTAGTCCTGGTTTAGTCCTGGTTTAGTCCTGGTTTAGCTCCTGGTTTAGTCCTGGTTTAGCTCCTGGTTTAGCTCCTGGTTTAGTCCTGGTTTAGTCCTGGTTTAGCTCCTGGTTTAGCTCCTGGTTTAGCTCCTGGTTTAGTCCTGGTTTAGTCCTGGTTTAGTCCTGGTTTAGTCCTGGTTTAGCTCCTGGTTTAGTCCTGGTTTAGTCCTGGTTTAGCTCCTGGTTTAGCTCCTGGTTTAGCTCCTGGTTTAGCTCCTGGTTTAGTCCTGGTTTAGTCCTGGTTTAGTCCTGGTTTAGTCCTGGTTTAGCTCCTGGTTTAGCTCCTGGTTTAGCTCCTGGTTTAGCTCCTGGTTTAGTCCTGGTTTAGTCCTGGTTTAGTCCTGGTTTAGCTCCTCTCCCGTTGCACATGCTGTTCCTCGCACAGATGTGTTTAACCTTTGACACTGAAACACCATCTGTAGATCCATGGCTTTATGATAGATCCATGATCCATGGACGCTACGCACGGTGCGCTTGTTTTTTTGCTTTTCCCAGAAAGTTTTGCAGTTTGTAGTCGGCTGTGATAGGTTTGCCTACATCCCCCAGAATGCCGTGCGCTTCTGACTCGCCTTTACTTCCTGTGTTTTCTTCCTGTTTTTTCCGAACGGACTGAAGTGAAACTATTGAAGTTCTATCGACCCCGTTTTCTATTGATATCGAACACGTTTCTATCGCAATATATATCGTTATCGTTTTATCGCCCAGCCCTAGCCTAGCGTACATGGACAGAGTAACTGGAGACAACAGTTTCCAGGCGGCTTTTGGCGACTGAGAGGAGATGATGGAGATGATCAGTTGAAATCGGTCGATGTGAGCGCTCTTACAACTGGAGATAAACAGTCGATCTCCGGATTCAGTCAGTTCCCCGTGTTCTACTTTTCGGCAACTAGTCGTCCTCAGATCCAGAGATATCACCGATGTGCTCCAACAACATGTGTGTATTGTGTGTATAGCGCCCTCTAAAGTTTATGTCAGAAAACACACTGTAGTTGAGGTCAGATTGTCGATGTGTGCGGTGCAGCAACTCAAAGGCCACGGATATAATCAGTTGCCAGTCTGATGTACGCTAGGCATAACACCCGGGCTTTGTTAGCGGCTAAAGCTAGGCTAAATTCTACAGATAGGCTTTATTTAACCAGGAAAGATCCCATTGAGATTAAGAACCTCTTCCTCAAGCGAGTCCTGACCAAGAGGCAGCAACGCTACACAGAAGTAAGTAAAGTTTATTTATATAGCGCCTTTCACAAAGCGGTTTACAATTGTTATTTTGGGCTTTTGTCTCTGACTCCACACAGAGATGGGACACAACAGACAGATACAATTGCATAACATTAAATGCTAAATGCTAAATGCTAAATGCTAAATGCCACTCTCACTCGGGCTCATGTGACCGCGAGTGTCCAGAAAGATGCCTTAGAAATGAAATGTATTATTATTACTATTATTACATACTCAACTCAATTCAATATATTTTTTTGCAAACAGTATTTTCTTCTAAGCAACATTATCCAATAAACACAGGTCACTAATAACGCTCAAAGTCCACGAGCATCAGACAAAGATTATTAGAGAAAATGAGTATGGAACATTACAGACGGCGCTCTTTGTCACGACACAGAAGTCGAAGGAAAGAGTTTCTGGAGAATTGAATATCAATGAAGAAAAATGCTAATGTGCTGCTTCTTAAGGAGCTTTTTATTAAATATTCACTGAGGAAAAGGACTATACTCAGGCAAAAAGAGACGGACATGGAGGAGAGGTGTTGTGTACAAACTGCAACTGATGGAAACACATGATAGCAGTCGATAAATGTCACTGTGAAAACCTGATTGTTTTGTTTAATATTTGTTTTATTTTCTCTTTTTTTAGAGGAATATTCAAAGATTTTTAAGTTTCTATTTTTATTAAGGAACAAAATAATGTATAAAATAACTTGCAGGAATAAGTTATTGGCCATAGCTGAAGGTGAAAGCCAGATCCTGTCAGACATCTGAAGCTAAGCAGGGCAGGGCCTGGTTAGTGCTGTGATGGGAGACCTCTGGGAACACCAGGTGGGCGGCTGTAAAGTGCAGAACTGTGGTTGTGTCCTTAGGCAAGACACTTCCCCCACATTAGAATGAGTCTGGTGTGTGTGTGAATGGTTGCCTCTCTTCTGTCAGTGTGCCCCAGGGCAGCTGTGGCTACAGTAGTTTATCACCACCGTGTTTGGAGAGAAAGAAAAATGAAGTGAAGAGACTTTGAGCGTCCATAAAATATAAAATCAATTATTATCATTATTATTATTAATGCTGTCACTGATTCTCTAATCTGCAAAAAGACCATTTTGTTTTTGCTGCTGTTGTGATGTAGGGATAAGATAATGTGATTGAACTAAACTGCTAATTAAGATTAAGATTAAGAGATCCTTTATATGTCCCACAGCGGGGAAATTTCAGTGTTGCATCGTTACAGAACAGTAGGAACGAGGAGCACACAGCACAAGATCAATAAACAATATAGTCATTTCTAACTCAAGGGTTTGCAAATAGTGTTGAAATCAAACCAGTGGAAAGTCAGCGATGTCTGTTCCAACATCACTTAAAAACTTGTGAATTATTAAGTTAGAAAAACACAAATTCTGTTTTGTTTCCAGCCGACGATAAAGAACCTAAACTAAGTTGTGTGTGGTGAACGAGCAGCCCCAAACACACTCGCCCATGTCTTCATCTTCAGGCTATCTTTCCCATTTCCTTTGTATGTTTCTCAATCCTTTGACACAAGCTATAAATCTGCTCCAAAGGAAACAGCGCCGGAGCAAAAGGGAAAATAGCAAAACAAGCCGGGGCAAAACACTGCGCAGAGACCAAACCAACCCCGAAAACAAAAATGAAATTACAAAAGGGTTTCAAATTTCCGGTCTGATCATTGACTTGTGCAAACTCCGGGTTAGGAGGCTGAAAAAACACTCAGTTGAGAGAGTCCAGGGAAAAACAATAGGTTTCTGCAGAGGTTAAGGTTTCCAAGAGGCTATAGCTAACATCTGGGGTGAATTAGCAACGC